TTACTAATAAGAAAATTCTTATTCTAATAGAATTCTAATAATATGAGATTATTATTTTCATAAAATCTTAATTACATAATACTAAATAATTAAATAATAAAATATGGTATTCAACACCCTTTCTCAAGTTGGTGCAGGAATATCGCACATATCCAACTTGCAAACTAAATTTTGAGAGTCATCATGCAATTTAGCAAAGATGTACACGCGATCGACTCGACTCAAAATAGCTCAATCTGGCTAAAAAACGGCTCGACTTGACTCTAAATGGCTCGATTTGGCACAAGACGGTTTGGTTTGGCTTAAAACAACTCGGTCCTGCTCAAAACGGTTCGGTCCAGCTCTAAAACAACTCAGACTCGGCTCTAAAACGGCTCGAAGTCAGCTCAAAAAATAGCTCGAAGTTGGCTAGGCTCATTTTTTTTTTGACAGATCTTTGAACGTGCGCAGAAAAACGGACTGATGTGGCCTTCTTTTATTGGCAGCTATAAATGTGTGGTTGTAACTTTTTACCAGTGTTTGGGGATGTGCGACTGCACTTTTTTACTGGCACTTGTAGATGTGCAGCTGTACTTCTTACCTGTGCCTGCAGATATACAGTTGCAGTTTTTTACCGGCGCCATCGAAGATGTAGCTGTAGCTTTTCCCCAGCGCATCAAGAGTGTGACTATACTTTTTACCGGCAGCTACAGAATGCTGCTGCACTTTTTACTGATGCCTCCATAATGCGGTTGCACCTTTTTACCGACGCCTCGACTACCACTAAAAATCACCGTAAACAATATAGAACACATCGACGGGTTCAAATATGCTTTGAGTGGTGATGAGAGTAGATCTAGATAAAAAGGTAATAACCCAGCCTATTGTGCTATTTTAGGGTTTGGAAAAAACTCCAAAATTAAAATTCTAAAATAATTTTAATTGGTTTTGATATCATATAGAATTTAGAGAAAAAATATAATTTTATTTTTCATATTTTAGTTTGTTATACTTCGGATATTTATAAAATTCCGAACTTTAATAAAAAAATATTTATTCTAATAAAATTATAATAATATGAGATTATTATTTTCATAAAATTCTAATTACATAATATTAAATAATTAAATAATTAAATATGGTATTCAACAGTCTCCAGTGTAATGTCTCTGAGTTGCCCATGTAAAAGGAATTGTAGAGTCAAGATGACAAAACCAAAATAAAAAGAGATGTTATATTCATTTAGCTATAGACACGACTGTTTTACTATAAGAAGTGAAGTGAAAAAAATGATCAGAAAAATTTAGAGAAGATTCAAAATAGTTGAAGAATGCCAAAAACTGGATTGACTTGGAGGAGATGGAGATTGGGATTGCAGCTAGGATGCCTTAGGTTTCTTTTTTTTTTCTGTTCCTTTTTTTTAAACTTTTTTTTTTTAACATTGACATAAAATTACTTTGGGTAATATTTTAAAATGATGTAAAAAACATAGCAGTGTATCTAACGCTTTTAAAACATAACTAATGGAGACATTAAGTTGTTCTCAATTAGAATTGTTAGGCATGCAACTGAATGAAAAGTTGGGCACTTATTGAACAAAGGACTGAAAATTGGGTAGTTTTTGATGCATTTGGCCGTCGTCTTATATTACAGTCATAGGTTTCTTATTATACACTAACTTGTTCTTTACCTGTCGATATATCTGTATTAGTTGGTTGTAGATTTTTATATGCAATGGAGAACCTTATTGTTATGGGTTATGGTGTTTTTGTGATGCTCTTGTGAAACAGATGCTCTTGTGATGCTACAATTAGCTTTAAAGGTTATTTATAGAAAAGTGACTAAAATGCTTTTCAAAATTCAGATTGTACTGTTTTATCAAAAGTGTTTTTTGTAATAAAATGAGGTCTGGAAACTAAACACATGTAGAAGATATGGTAGATTCAAGTTTGCCAATTTTGTAGAACAATGAAATTGTAGTTCTCCCATGCTAACCATAGGAACTTCAGCATGTTAATTGACACAAGGCAAAGCTATATAAATGGAACTGCCTCTAATCTAAGAGTTTCTTAAGTCCAGTCTAAAAATAACAGTCAAGGCAAGCCTCCTTCAATGTCTTAGATGCAAAATACTTCTATAACTTTTTGGGGATCGTCTAAGTATACATTTGTAGTATAAGTGGCTTCATTTCAAGGTCCCTGGCTCTTAAAGCTCATTGTTTGGTGCCATTTCTGACAACATCTCACTGTCAAAGTTTCTTTGAGCCTGCTCAAGATTTCATTACAAAAGAGTTAATGTTATTTATCTTAATTTTTATAACTTTTTATTGGTTGAAAATATTTTACCTTCAACTTTGTAAGGCTTTAATTGGAGATCCGAGAAGAAGGATTCATGTAGATCTTCTGGAATTCCACAAAATCCTCCGATGTACCTGCTGCTGTAGAGGGGCCAGTAATCTATTGCCATCAATGTCTGACGCTTCAATTATGTAAGATTTGCCTCTTTTTCCTCAAAACCAACAACTGTACGGTACTTGCTTATCAAAATGGCTCATCCAGGTTGATCATAATTAGGGTCTGAATTTGAATAGTGGACAAAGATTGAAAGGTTTTGTCCGGAAATCAAATCCTAATATTTTCACCATTAATCACAATGATATTTTGCTGTGAAGGCCGCATTATCCTTATTTCTTTCTGTTCATTCATTCCCCTTCCTCCTCCCATCCTGAACTTCCTATGCTCTATAATATCTATCACTACTGCAAGAAGTCAATTGAAAGCAAATTTATTCGTTAATGATGCATACAACTGTTGACCATATGGCTTTAATTTTCTATTTATATTGTCTGCAAATGAGTCCTAAAGTGTTTGCTAGTTAATAACTATAATTGTGACAATCTATTGTTTAGGTTTGTCATTGCCCAGGAGCATGGTGATCTTATAAATCTCCATGACTGGTACCAGTCTTTTAAGTCAATTGTTACTTGCCGAAGTAGTAAAGGTAAAAAAAGATTGAAGCAGTCTCCAGTATCCAAAAAAAGGAAGGATGTTGGCGGATTTGAAAATCTAAGTGAAGCTTTAATCCAGTATCCTTTTGATTTTATGGTCCTGCATGCTATTTTTATGTTTTCACCGTTTAAGTTGACAAAATTGTTTGGGCATAGAATGCCTTTGGGTGATGCATCTTATGTTTCAGTATTTAAGTTAATGAATTGGGATGATAATGCTTTTGAGGAATGAATTGGGTGTGTGGATGAAAATAGAGTCCGCTGAGTATGATTCTACGCAGTTTAATTTAACTTCAAACTAGAGATTGTTTTGCTTGCAACTTAAAAGATGATATTTGTGCATAAAATCCTCATTCTGATTTGAATGAAATGAGCAAATTCTGTGTTTCTATAGAAGATAAGACATAAAATCCTTGACTCCTTGTACAGAGCAAAGTTTTGCAGGGCTGTTACGGAACTTCAAATTACAGGACTTGTGAGGATGCCAACCAAAAGACGTCCAGATTTCATCCAGAGAGTGGGGTTTGGGCTCTAGCATTTTCACAAGTCAGAATTAATCAATATATTCCGTTTTATCTTCTCCCATATAAATCATACTTGCTTTGTAACCATATAGCTACTTCTTTAAGGATCAGTCGGTAATTTTCTAACCGGGTTTAAACTAACTATATGTACATATATATAATTATATATATATAAATATATAAATATTTACACATTAGTGGGTTCTGTCGGTAGAGTTATTTCATTGCAGTGAAAAAGAAAAATCTTTGCGCTGCTAATTGTTTGAGAAAATGAGTAATTTGAACTCTACTGGTAAAGGTTAAAAATATTTTATAATTTATTTGATTTATTAATTATGAACTGTTCTTAGGTTTAAAAAAAAGTTATTAAAATGTGACAGTTTAGCATAATTTATTAAAATATAACTGCACTTTATAAACATTAAAATGTAATTTAACATTGCAAAAAATATGAACCTTATGCTGCTAATAGTGTTAAAAGCAACATATGCATACAAATTTAGATTTTTAGTGACTAAATTAAATTTGATCGTAATATATGTATATTATTTTAAAATTTTCTGTTATTTCTCTTCCAGCTAAGGTCATAATTTTCTTGTGTAAATTATTTGCTCTACTGCAAAGTAAGTAGTTTATGGCAGAGAAAAAAATGGGATTTTCCCGGATATAGAAAGGAAGATATGGAGGAACTTAGAATATCAGATGTGCTATCTGTTAGAGAATAGTCAAAATTTTCAAGTCACTAGGAGAGAATTTCCTCCTCAACAAACATTTCTGCAGTCATGATATTGTTTCTAATATATGTGTATATATGTATATTTCAATATTTTCTCTTTTTGTTATTATATTAAATGGTATTTCATATTTTTATCAAATTATTTAATTTCATAAATCTTAAAATACATATATCAAATAGTACAATGAAATTTATTATATTTTAATAGTGTCGGCAGGATATCTTACTTTTTGTCACGTTTCTTCTGGGGCTTTACACCTGGTGGAATCATAATAAACGAGGTTGACACCCATATACTATTTGAATATATAATTTCTTACATTTGTTTTGGAAAAAAAAAATATTTTTTTTATTGATTGATAATGTAACATCCGAATCCAAAAAATAGATTCAGAATAATTTAATAATAATAAAATAAAATAAAATAAAAATAATTTAATTTTAATTTTTTATAAATTTTTCAAAAAAATTAAATTTTGAATGTATTTTAAAATATTTTCAAAAATTAGAATCAGAGTAGAAATAAACAAAGATCTATATGAAAAGAAACCTGAAAAACTAGGATAAAAATAAAAATAAGGAAACTTTGGCCACATGGACTGCCACATCAACAGTGCGATCGATCACCGTGCGCCACATGGCAGACCCGTGGACACGCATCCACACGGGCAATCTGTTTGCCAACAGATCCAGCGGCCCAAATCCCCTCCCCCGCGGACGGGCGCTCTCGATCCATTTCTTCTTCAAACGTAATCGAACGGTTAGATTTGATCATATTGTGCGGTCCAGGTGAATTCTTCAAATAGAAGCGATCCAACGGTAGTGAGTGGGCTACGTATCCCTGCACGGAGCACCCAGATCGATGCGTAGAAGGTATATAAGCATCGCATCTTAGGGAACCCTAACCCTAGTCGCACGTCTTCGCTGAAGAAAAGGAAGAAGTGTGGTCGGAAAGAGATCAACTGCCGTTGTCGTCGTACCGAAGCCACCACCGACGCAAGAAATATAGAATTTTCTTTTTTTTTTTGTTCGAAATTCGATTTTGAACCACCCCACACAATATCGGAGCCTAAAAGCCAAAAAGGAAGCCGAAAATCGAGAG